TGCTGCTTCACTGAACCATGAGGTGGCTTCACAGGCAGCATGACCTCACCCAGCACCTCCTGTTCTGGCAAATTCAAGGGCCCAGACCACACCATTCTGTGGGAAAACAAAGGTGAGCTCCTCTCTGCTAGTTGTCCCCACAGACCCTGAGCAGTCACATGTGTGCTGTCCTTCCCTAGCTAACACCACAGCCCACCCTGTCACCGGTGGGTGCCCCATCACCCTAGGACCCAGGCATGACTTCATCATGGGTTGGGCCCAAAGACATCTTCCAGCGTCAGCCATCTTGCTTTCCAGTGGAGACACAGCATACTCATGTTTTACTACTCAAATCGAGTCATCTGCCCTCAACAACAAAAAAGAAGAGGGAGAAAAGAGAGGCAACTTAAGTTGGGCAGCAATTCTACTCCAGTAGTATTTACTCTTCAAAACCTGAGGACTTGGAGGGAACTTGAGATGGAAGCTGTAAATCCATGGGTTAGCTTTGGGGTCCCTTGGTCCATCTCTCTGCTCCCACCGGCCTTCCCTGGTGGGCAGTGGTGTGCTGGTAACCGCCTAACAGCTGGCTCCTCAGGAGGAACAAGCCCTGGTCTCCAGCCTTCGAAAATTTCTGTGGTGTAAATACTCCCTCTAGGGCTCATTTCAAATTACCAACCTGATCACACAGAACATACGGTTGGGAAAAGATGCATGAAAGCAGCTCTCACAGCCAGTTCCAGCTGGCTCCAGCACACAGCTGTCTGTGGGGGAATCTGATGTTTCAATATGCAGGACACAGGTTTCATACAGCCTGGCCCCTCATACCAGCCCACTGTTTCATCAGGAAGAAAAGGCATGTGTTCCAGAGCAGGAGGAAACACCTGCTGAGGGTGGGAGGTCGGCCTGCAATCCCGCAGCATCCTAAGGGATTCGCAAGAGTAGTATTAACTGCATTTGATTTCCACCTTAAAACCTAATTCTCCCCTTCAACAACCAGAGCTAAGGCTTGGGGACTCCTCATGGACCCTCCTCCTTCACTAGACAGTCCTGGCCCAAACTCAAGTGAGATCACCCCACACCCCATCTACCTCCCCACAAGACTTGTATCCTGAGGGCTCAGAATAACTTTTTCTTTGGGAGCCCAGCGTGCTTGGAGGCTGGACTTTGGAGACAAACAGACCTTGATTCCGTTTCTGCCTCTACCACCAAGCTGTGTAATCGTGGGCAGATCCTCAATGGCCTCATCTGTAAACTGGGATAATACCTACTTCACAGGGTTGTTGGGAGACTTAAATAAACATAGTATAAAAAGCACTCAGCACAAGGCAGCGCCAACAGGCACACCACCACTACTTCCCTCCTGCATGTCCCCAGGGGAGTGGGGCCTGAGCCACAGTCAGACAATGTCGCAACTTAGTGGCTGAGCTCAAAAATCGCACAAAGGCCTGTAGGTGTTCCTGGATTTGAGACAAACTGCTCAGAGAAGAGATGGGATGGTGGGTTTCTGATAAGAATGAAGACTGTGTTTTCTGAGAGGCCGTCTGGTGTTATGGAAAGTCATTGGGCACTAGTATCAGGTTCAGGTCCCAGCTTTGCCACATAGTAGCTGTTTGACCTTGGGCTAATTTTTTCAAAACTCAGTTTTCTCATCTGTGAAATGGACCAAATGATTTCTATGTCATTAGATAAACACTCAATAGGTGTCTGATGCCCTTCTCCTTGCTCTTGACCCCTCTTCCAGCCCTCTTTCTAGACCCCAATAAATATCATCTGACTGCCTCCTACACCTCCTTGGTGGTTGCCCCAACCACATTTTCTCAATCCTGTTTTCAGGGATGCTGCCTAATTTCCCTCAGGACTCTTAACCTCTTGGGAGAGAATCTCAAAGGCCATAGCCATCCATAGTACTTCAGATCCTAATGCTCTAAATGTTTACAATATTCAGTAACGTCCAGACTCTTTGGTGATGCACTTGGGCTGACAAAGTTATGTCAAGGATGACATATGAAGTAGATGCCAAGTTATTCATTGCAGTAAAAGGCTCCCCAGTCAAACCAGTGACCCAAGACACCCTCTTCCCATTAACAACTTCTCTCCGCAACCACAAGGGGACCTCACTGGGCACAGATCCTGCGATGGTCAGGGTAGGGGTTATCTCTCCCACATTCGGGAACATTCTGAAACTTCCTGACTCAACTGAAACACCTCTGTGGTGGGCAGACTGCTCATGACCCCGATCCTGAGGACACGCACTGACCAGCGTGGCTTCTGTGCTGACTAGGGCCCTTCAGGTTATAGACCCTCCTGAGATGTGCCAGCGCCACAGTCGGCTGTCGTGGAAATGTGGGGCTTTAGGACTAGATGGAATTAGGTCTGAATCTCATCTTTTTTACTTATTACCTGAGTGGCCCTGGACAAGTGGCTGAACTATTTGAGCCTACGAGCTACCACAACAGTGGGGGACATGTTCCTACCTCAGGAGTCTCTGGGTTTAGTAAATGGGGCCCTGTGTGCGCCCAGTGCAGTCACAACTGCTCAACAAATACTCCATGTTATCGAGAATCCACTGTATAGGAGACACTTCCTCCATTATGAATGTGTTGGCTTCACTACTAGACCACAATTCTAGGGGCGTCCCCTGCTGGCAGTACATTTTCCTAATTTCCTTCAAAAAATATAACTGTCCTTGGGGATAGGAAACACCTGAGCATAAATACCCACTATTCCTTTCCGTAAACTTATTTCTGTATTTCAAGATATGAGCCACTGAAACTCTTCACAATGAAAGAGAAATGCAAATGTGTGTCATAACATACTTCCCAACATACACAGTGGATTCTCCACTCGCCAGAAAGAAATGCCATGAAACCTAAGCAAATGGAAACACAGAAGAAACTAGATATTCATGGCCATAGTACGGGAATAAATGGATCACAAAAGAAGAAATGCAATTACTTCACCTGTGCAGGAGGAAAAAATACGGGGTGACTCAATGAATGTTTGCCCCTAGCTTTGCAGTCTCTGGGTGCAGTTTTCAGCACATGTGCGCTCCCCACTGGTCTCGCTATCTGAAACAGCAATCAGTATAAAACCAGACTAATCGTGAGGCAGAGATCCCTCTGGGGGATTCATTTAGAACGTGCAGCCCTGTTCCTACCACCATCATCATGTGGGACACCAGCTCTATCAAGGAGAATGCTGTCTTCCCCCCTGGCTTTCAGAGCTCATGGGACCCGGCAAATGATGGTGGCATCTATTACCGCTTAAACTACCCCACATGGGTGATGGAAGAACTTCTCCCTCCCAGAACGGGCTCTCCTGGGGCTGAACCCATCCATCACTTAGATCTGCCTCTGATTCTCATCAAGACCTGCAGCGAGAGCTGGCCTCTGCCCATTGCATTACTGTAACCATTCCACTGCTGTGTTCACTCTTTCTTTCCTCTGGGCCTTCAGCCTAGGGAATGTGTGGAGGAAGGGAGGCAAGTCACTGTCCCCATCTCTGTAGAGTTCGCAGATCTAGGGGGACCCATTTATCAGAATGTGAGCAATAGAGCAGCCCCCAGACCCCCACCTGGGGAAAATATCTACTACTAATTTCTCTGCCTGAATGTCACTACATTTTGGTCCTTAAAATAATTTTGACCCATTTCCTATACCTGTCCACACCAAAGGCCAAACTCTGCTTTTCTACCACATTTATTTGCAGGTGTCTGGACAGGCCCCGTGGGCTTCAGGCATGTCATGTGGTCCATGTGTTTTCCCCTGAGCAGGTGCTCTGGACATATTTCAGGCAGTTGACATTCATTGAGTGCTTACTATGTACAAGGGACAGAGACTAACACTTGATATGAATGATCTCATTAATCCTCCAACAGCTCTCTGGGCAGGTAGGATCATTACACCCACTTCACAGATGAGAAAGTGGCTCAGAGGAATAGAATGACTTGTCCAAGATCCAAGGCTGACAAATTACAGTAAGGAGTCAAACCCAGGTCAGTCTGGCCCCAAAGCACTTGGTCTTGTCCTGTACTTCCAATACAATTGTATTTGTAAAAACAGCTTTGCTGAGATACACAATACGTTTCACCCACTTCAAGGGTCCAAATCAATGGCTTTAGTGTATTCACAGAGATGTGCAGCCATCCAAAGAGTCAATGTTAGGACACTTTCTCCACCTCAGAAAGGAACTTCGTGTCCTTCAGCTGTCACTGCCTTCTCCCTTCTTCCCCACCCTCTCGCAGCCCTGAACACCCGCTAATCTATTCTGGACTTCCATATGAGTGGAATCGCGTACTATATGGTCTTTGGTGTCTGATTTGTTTAACTTAGCATAATGTGTCAAGGTTTATCCATGTTGTAGCGTGCATCAGTACGTCATTCCTTTCAATGAGTGAATAATATTCCATTGGATGCATGTACAACATTTTGGGTTCATTTTGTTTTGTTGGAGCAAAACTTAAACTTGTATTATCTGTAAGCCACTACCATTGGAGGTATTTCTGTTATATATAACCAAACTGATTTTTTTTTTTTTTGGTGAGGAAGACTGGCCCTGAGCTAATATTATAGACTTGAAAGTTGTTAAGAGAGTGGATCGGAAATGTTATCATCACTCATGCAAAAGAATGGTAATTATGTGAGGAGATGGAGGTGTTACTATCCTCATTGTGGTAATCATTTTGCAATGCACACATTTATCAAATCACCGTGTTGTACATCTTAACATACATATGTTCAATTGCAGTCATATCTCCGTAAAGCTGGGGGAAAAGAATGTGTATGGTGGTTAGCTTTGTGAGGTGTGATAACAAGTGATTTTTATTCTTCTCTTCAATTTTCTATGTTTTCTAAATTTTATATAATCAACATGGATTGTTCTCAGAAAAAAAAAAAATCCTTCCTTTTACACATTTTTATGTCCCTTGGCTCATCAGGCAAGAAGAGTGTGAGCTGAGAGGATTCAAAAGGAAAGTGAGGATGGGAGGGGGACTGGAGGCGGGAAGAGGAGGAGCCACTGGTCTAACCTTGTCAACAAGCAGTCATGGACTCCTTGTGCCACAGCTGGTTCTCCGGCCAGACCCTCATGCTCCAAATGAGCCTCCATCTCGGTGAGTAGCAGAGCAGGTGGGGTGGCTCCTAGGCAGTTGTGGAGGAGGCTGAGGAGCCACATGGGAGGGGGAGCTTGGGCTTGCATGGTATTAAAACTCTGACTCCTCCAGCTCTTTGAGGGTTAAGGGGGAGGGAAAGGGGCTAGGGCTTTTCTGGGATGCCTGCACCTTCCTCAGGACAGGAAAACCTCCATCAAACCTCTACCTCAAAGGGCAGTTATTTGTCCTGCTCTGTTGGGCTGCTGCCGCTGAGATCCTCAGACCAGCGTCTCATTTTCCACCTCCCTGTTTGGTGGGAACAAATCCACAGTCTCAGGTCCTTGTCTCTGTCTGCTCCCCAGGGCCAGCCTGCTTCCTTCTCCTCCCAGGCTGAGGAGGGCTTGTGTGGGGAGTGAGGGGTCAGAACAGCTCCCACTGCCCATCATTAGGGACAGCTGAGCTGTGGCACCATCTGCAGAGGTGGGGACCTGGGGGCCTCCGGTGTGGGGGCGAAGTGGGGTCTTCCCCTTTTGCTCTGCTGGTGACCTTTCTGTGTGGTTACCGGTTGTTTCTGAGCTCTCCGTGGGGGTGGGGGTTATGCTGTAGTAGCTGCCTCATGGGAACCAGGCTCAGACTGGGTGGCCTGGTCCCCTGCCCTTGTCCCCAGAACTTCCTTGTGGTGGAATGAGGGGCTGAATTCAGCAGTCAGACCAGCTGGGTCAAAATTCTCGTTCTGCCACATATTGACCATAAAATTTTGGACACATTGTAAATACCCTGCCGGAGTGACTTTATCTTTCTGGGCTTCAATTCCTCACCTGGAAAATGGATAGAATAATGCCTCACTCAAGATGTTCTTGGGAGAGTAAGTGAAATTGTGCACTTTCCGACCAGTGTCTGAACAGGGACACAGATTCTTTATGTATATAGCATCATACATTTCTTGCTGGATAAAAAACATGCCAATAGACACTGTAATAAAAGGTGACGTTTCCTTGTTTCATAATTGACAGTGTTATCGTGATCCAACAGTTTAAAAACAGGAAAGGTTTCCCTCTGGGACATGAGGTAGTTGTGGTAACACAGAGGTCGCACACGTCCCTACGCTCCCCACCGCCCTCCACCTCCTGCACTGTGGTGAACATTGTGGGAACCTTTGACACAGTCCATTCCCCCTTACCCATCAATAGGAGAAATGTTACCACGATTGTTGATGATGAGCAGAGGATATGAGAGACGAAACAAGGGAAAAAAGGTAAGATAAATAAGCATGAAAGACAGTCATCGTCACAGGTAATCAAACAAATGCAGATGAAGAAAACTAGGTATTGTATTTTGCCTGTCACATCAGCATGGGTTTTTTTTCTTAATGTGAATGCTCCGTTTGGCAATGGGACACTACGACAGGCACTCTCATATATGGTAGCCAGCTTTTTAAGTGAGGAAAAGCTTCTTGGTAGTATATTTGATGTGTCAGAAACATTTAAACATTTATAATATTTATACCTGGGAGCCAGCCCGGTGGCGTAGTGGTTCAGTTCACACGCTCCACTGGTGGCCTGGCGGCCCAGTGGATCCTGAGTGCAGACCTAACACCACTCGTCAAGCCACACTGTGGTGGCATCCCACATAAACAGAGGAAGATTGGAACAGAGGTTAACTCAAGACCAATCTTCCTCACAAAGAATAAATAAATAAATAAAATATTTCTACCTTTTCCTTGGTAACTCCACTTCTGGGACTTACCCCAAGGGAAAAACCTTCATGCAGAAGAAGCTTATGCACAAAGACATCATTTTGGTCTATTTATAATAGTGAAAAAATTGGAACCCAATGAGAGGGTAAATGACATAAGGGCAAGTTACAACATTAAGGTGGTGACAACAACAGCCCCAGGTAAGCTGGGTTGGGCGGGTGACTGAGAAGATGGAAGGGATTTGGTCAGAAGGAAGACAGGAATAAACATGTGCTGAGCATCTACCATAGGCAAGATCTGCACCTGGAGTGTTACATACACTCTCTCATTGCAGCCTCACATCACCATGCATTTCCTGTGGGGCTGGGAGGGATACTGAGGCAGGGAGGACAGGACAACGGAAGACCTGTTGCTAATGACCAGGCACTGTGACACATGGCAGGAATCTGGCTTTCCCCATTGTAGCCCCACTGAGTAGATGACACCACCCTCGTGTTACATTTGAGGAAACCAAGGCTCAGAGAGGCCAATGAACTTGCCTGAGAGCTCAGCACTACTACGTCTTAGCCCAGGTATCTAAGAGCTCCAGGACCACGTTCTGCCTCAGACTGCAGAGAGCTGGGGACTCCGGCTGTGTTGCCTTCCTCTCCTAACTCTCCCCGCCCCTGCTCCCACACCCAAACCTCTGAATTCTTAACTAAGAGGATAGAGGAAGCTGTGCTATTTGACAGAAATTCCTCTCACACTTTCTGTTCCCGCCACCCCAGCCTCTAGGAAAATTATTCCTTTTATGTTTCTCAATAGGGAAACAGCTGCTCCTTTAGTGCCTTCCCCCATCTGAATTTTCTTTCCTTTTTCTGCTCAACAAATGCTATCATTTCTGGGTTAGGGTCATGGAGTCTGTGGGGTCAGTGAGCACTTTAAGGAGTCCTCCTGGGTTTTTCTTTCTTGAGCTGTAGTTACGTCTATGCTGGCTCCTCTGGGAGTGCTTCCACTGCTCTGCCATTGTAGCATTTGTCACGATTCTCAGAGAGCTGCATACATGGCAGGACCAGGGTGCACAGGAAGCTGCCTCTGCCCCCAGCTGCCCTCTCTTTGTGTGCTATTGGTTGCCACACAACCACTGAGGGTGGTAAGTCCCTCAGAGCAGAAAATTCAGCTGTTCCTGCCTCACCCAAGCTGGCATCAGCCTTACTGAATTCTAAGCAGATTGAGAGCAGCCATTACCAGGCTGCATGGGGTCTCATAGGACAGGGGAGGGCAGGGAAGTAGGAGGGGCCCCTGACTCTAGCCACAAAGTCCTTTCTATTCTTAAATATTGACAAAACAAAATCTCTTTCCTGTAAATGCATCTTAGATTAAAGCTGATTCAGGCAGCACTGGGTTCATGGTTAACTCATTTTTCTTAAGAATTGAAGTTGACTGAGCTAGTGAACTTTGTCCGTTATTTATAAGAATTATTTTTAAAACATTCAAAGAATATAGCATCATGTCATCATGCTTAATTTTAGTTCCTTAAAATTTTACAAGGGAAAAATTTTATGGAAGTATATTTACATTGTCCTCAAGGAGGGCACGGGATGTGTTGGTATATGAGAGATGGATCGGCAGTCATCGCACTGCCCTTGCCCACTCTATCAGTCATTATTGGAATTGGTCCTTCCTGTATGTTTTATCTGTCAAAGCAGTGAACTAGGAAGAGAACTGGAAATCAGGAACCTGGATCTCATAAAGACTGTGGCACAAACTTCTCTCTAGTGATTTCTCTCAGTGTTCTTATAAATTGGAACTCCATCTCCCTGTTCATAGTAAAGAATCTTTTCTGTAGCCTGTGAGAAATAGCTTAACAAATTTCTTTAAACATAAGAGGGAAAGACAGAGAGACAGAGAGATAAAGCAGGAGTCAGGCAGTTGGAGACCACTCAGATGCACAGATCTAGCTTCACTGCTGTGTGAACTCTGGCAGCTCTCTTCATTAAATCGTTGGTCTTTGGAAATTATCTCATTTCTATCTTTTCCTGAACCCTGGCTCCTTGCCTTCTATTTAGTGATTTAGGTCTATTGATGCAAATAATCCCTAATCAACCTTAAATCAAAATTGGGATGAGTTTATTATGAGCCACATTTGAGGACTATAACCCAGGGCCTACCTTCTTCAAGGAAGGAAGGGCACCAAAGAAGTGTATAGAGTGGATATATACCATCTTGGGACAAAGAGCATACATCACATATGACAGGAATAGCCCTTTTCCTACTGTCACGAGATGCTTAGCTGGCACAGCAGGTTGGTGGTCAGCAGGCCAGTGGTCAAAAGACTAACACAGCAGAACAGAAATGAATCCTTAGTTCCTAGGAAAAGATGCTTATTTTTAAAGAAATGCTGATATGGGGGGAAATTACATACCTATATTTAAGGGCATTGAGCCTGTCTTTGCAACATGGTAAATGCTTAAAGCAGGTGTACAATGCATGTTCAACAGGCCACATCAGGCCCTTTGGAAAAACAAGGTCAGGCTGAATTAGTTTTAGAGTAAATGGCTTCCTCAAATACTACTGCTTTTCATTTATTCATCATTTCTCCCCTTTTTATCTATAATCTTTCAATAGAAAGCATTGATGATCAAAATATGGTCCCTCACTGCCAGGGTGCTTGCTGCCTGCCCCGGGTGCATCGTGTCCTTCAGTGTTGGGCTTGGATCATATTAATTTGCCCAGTAATCCATGTTGGGAGGAAATAGTTGGACAAGCATAGACATATTATTTAACAGAGGAAGCATTTCATGGGTTGTATAATTTTTCAATTAATTTAGATTGTCACACAAATGTGCATATACTTCACGTGACTCCTCATGCTCACATTGTTTACGATTATAGAATGGGTACAAGAACAACGTTGATAATTCAATATCTGAAAAGATTAGTTTTAAAATGAGTTCCTTGGCATAGTCTTTATTAAAAAAGGAAGTTTGTCCAGGGTTGTAAGATCGCTTGACCATCTCAAGTCACTGAGCAATCACTACTCTAGCCACCATGCCACACTTACAACACTGAGTAAAGAAAACAGTAACTAATTTGAATACTATGACTAATACAAGAATTCCAAGGAGTAATAGAAATAGGAATTGTAATCTGGGTCAAAAAAGGGAACCAATACCTGAAGGGGGCCAACCAAACAAATCAAGACTGGGTGTAGAATTACTTCAGGCATTCACCTATTTTTTTTTCCTGTGCTTTAGCAGAGATGACATATTGGAAGCTTCATCAGGTATAAGATCACAGCATTCAGTGTGAATGACTGTACACGTATCACCTTGGGATGCAGTTA